GCTGCAGTATTTAGACAGCACTGAATTTTCCTCCCTCTTCCAAATTTCAGTATATTTCTCATTTTCTGCAACCATGAGCACAGTGAAAGGCTTCTGGTGTAGGATTTAAATAGACTCTAGGTGGGAGGCGAGAAATATTCTCTTAATGTACAGATGAGAAACTGAGGCACGGAGAGATTGAGGGATTCACTCCATGACTGAGTTACACTCGGAGTCTGACTAAGACAGGGACAGGAATAGGGACAGTGTGCTCCCGTGCTACAGCACTGAATTCATCCTGGGAAATCGAGATGCATTTCCTATCCCTCTTGCTGCCTTCCTGGGTGGCATTGGTGGAGAATTTCTCAGCTCTTACCCTCGAGGTGTTACCTTCATCTGATGCTTTTGGGGCTTGAGGAGGAGATGAAATGGGATGCCTGATTTCTGGGAATGGGGTCAGTGACCCCATCTTGGTGTGTGTTGGGATAATGGCACAGCTCTCCTGGAAGGGTGTGAGCCTCAGGGACGGTGGGGGTGCTCCCACCTCCTTTCTCCGCAAGGGAAAAGGTGAGGATGACAGGACTGATTAGTCTGGAGCCAGAGGTCGCATTGTACAACTTATTCCTCAATTGATGAGCAAATAATCATCATGAAATCAGGGATAATCTGGTGGGAAAGAACCAGTTGAAGGTTACAGCAGCCGAACCTGGCTGAAGCAAGCTAAGGAGGGTGGGGTTGGAGCATCCATTCATCTGGTTTAGCTCTATAATGTATGTTTTAGCTGTAGAATGTATGAATAGTGCCAAGTTAATCTTGAAAAGTTGGGTTGACGCTGAACCGTCTGTCTGATGCCAACGGTCCTCTGCAAGTCCGGTCTGCAAAGGTTTCGGGCGATGACCCAAGTGACAACCTCGAGCCTTTATCCATAACTTTGGCCGTTGTGAGTGGCAGAGGTAGAGCTCATGTTTCCCAGATGACATGAGAAACCTCGCCAGTGAGTTAATACTGCGCCGCCTTGATGTAGCAGTTGGGGCTTTGCGCGTTCCCCGCTGTGGGAGGAGAGACAATACATTTACAGTGCATTAAGGTATTATTGTAACAGCGTTTGCGCTGAAAGGTTCCTGATCCTCCGAAATAAAGAAGAGCAGATTTGTCCCAGATTTATCAATGGAGGCAGGGTTCCCATTCAAACGCGAGGGAGGGGAGGGTGGGTGAGATCCCGCTCGCTGCAGCAGCCGGGCTGGATGCTGTACTGCTCTGCCTGGTGCTAAGGGGAACGGGAAGGATTTTGGTAGAAGGAGGAGAACCCCAAAAGGCTGCTTGAGAGGTGATGGGGTTCAGCAAGGAGGCAGCAAAATTCCCAGGTGGGAGCAGGGTGCTAAAGCAGCCCTGTGCTGGGGAATAGCTGAGGGTGGGGGTGAAGGTCCTGAGGTGTTTTGTGCAGCCCATGTGCCCCTGGGGAGGGATGGTGGGGGGGTTCCTCTCATGGCCTGGGACTGGCTGTGGGAAGAGGGAAGCTGTGTGTCCCCTCTGCTTGGAAATCCGCCCCGAGACGGCCATTAAAGGAGGACAAGAGTGATGCTTGCTCTGCTTCTTTGTAGAAACTGCATCTGATGTTATAGGTCAGCCTGTAGATCATTGCACGGGGGGGGGGATTTCTTAAATGGCCGTTAGGAGTAAAATTGAATTTGTTGAGACCAGATGCAGCAGAAGAACTGGATGAAAAAGCGGATAGAAACTTGCAGAGGGAGCACTGGGACATCTTGCATTCGACAGAAAAGGCACAGTCTTGAGGAGCAGTGATACTGCACCTCGCCCAGCAAGCTCCCAGCTCGCAGGAAATCACTGGCTGGGTCGGACACCACAGAAATGTCCCTTCCCCTTGGGCTTTTATTCCCCTGCCTCTGCCCTTGTGCTCAGACCTCCTGGCTTTGGAACGTGTTGCTGCTTGACAAATTTTGGGCTTGGTGCAGTGCCTGTCTGCAAACCCTTCTGGGGAAATATGTGTGGGGTTGGGATGCCAAGCAGGAAGTGATGCTATTGGTGTACCCCCAATGCTGAACCAAACCTTGGCTGGGGACCCCCGAGAACAAAGGAGCTGAGGGGACTTTGCTGGGGAGGAGGGGATCTGCCCCTCCTTCCACTCTGCCTGCATCAACCTGCTCATCTGGCACAGCTTAACTGGCTTTGGTAGAGCTATGTGGAAGCAGTGGAGGAATAAACAGGGCCAGGAGGCCACAGGGTGCCTGGGGTCACCAGGCTGGAGCCCCTGGAGAAATCCGTTGAGCCAGGGTGATGCTGGACCAAAGCTGCCCGGAGCTCAAGGGTTAATGTCTGCTGCTGTGTTGCAGCTAATGGGGGGTAACAGCTTAATCCTCCTCCTGGTTTTAAGGGAAAGGCTTTTCCTACCAGCATCCCAAAGGTCTGTGGCTCTCTCAGTAGGACTGGCACCAATTTCCCAAGAGTTTGCCCCCGACTGAGATCCAGAGTAAACTGTTGCAATTATGGAAGTTACGCCTTGTTGCCTCAAGCCTTTTGTCATCAATAAATGTTTATGGTTTAAAGCAGCCTTGTTTGTTTGCCTTAGACCAGATGACAGTGATTTATTGGCAGAAATCCTAGCAGAGGAAAGAGATGAGCCAGACAAGTCTTGAAGTGCTACACACGTGTATGTAGTGAGCAGATGATGGTTATTTCATGATCCTGAAACCTGCAGAAAATAGAGCCTCAGACTTGGATGTGAACAGTTGTTTCCAGGAATTTTTCTCAATCTACAAGCAGCATGGGCAGCTCAAGGGTTAATGATGCTCCAAGGCTTTGCTTCCTGCTTTCTCTGGGGTTTGGGATGGCTGGGGGATGCTGTGTGTTGGAAAAGAGGAGTGGATGCTCTTGCCTGGAGCAGGTTGCAGGTCAGTGCTATTAATTGCTGTAGGAATGGTGGGGGAGCAAGACTGGGCACCCGTTGCCCCAACTCCCTCGTCCCAGGAGATCTGCAGCCTTGAACTAAATGGGACTCAGAAGGGGGAGCTTAAAGCCAAGGGTGGAGGTGGCAACAAGAACACGTGTCTGGGGCAAGGGGAGAAGTGTCCCTGCATGTGATCACAGGGGAACATCTTCTCATGGCCACGCCGAGCTGCTGCCTTACTGCTGGTGTGAAAAACCCATCGCTGGCCATGTTCGAACCAGGAGGTTGGTGGAGGCGGAGGCAGGGCGGGCAGCTCACCTAAAGGCTGTCCTTGGGTCAGATCCCTCAGCCAGGTCCAGCTTTTTGTCCACAGGACCTCAGTGAGGCTCATTCCCGCAAGAAACCCCCCTGATTTCTTGTGGCAGAGGGTTTTTTGCCCTCTGTCAGTGAAGACGAAGGCAGGTTCTGCTCGCTCAGACCTCATCAGCAGTGTTAATTTGCCATTTACAGTCCGGAGTCAGCTCTTACACCAATATTTATTGTTGTTTTTTCCCCCCCTAGGTCTGTATATTTTGTACAGCTTGTTTCTAATTTAAAGCATAAATAAGTTTGATCTTTTCATCTGTTTTTTTTCCCTACCTTCTGGAGCCTGTGCTGGTTAAAAATAGCCGCAGCGATGAGCCAAAGCGGGGCTGGGGGAGGGGTTT